TTTCCGAAGGAACCAGAAACTTATAGTTCTTAAGATGGCTTTGTCTAAGCCAATATTTCTAATGGCTCCCAACAATACCAGCCACTGTGGTCAGCATTTGTGTGTGTAAATTCTCTTTACTGTTCACAAAAGCTAGGTAGCATCCTATTTTACAGATAAGGAAACTGAAGCCTAAAGAAGCAGAGAAACTTGCCAGGGCCACAGAGCTAGGATCTGGATGAGCTGGGTAGTTGGGTTGCAGAGCCTGTTTTGATAACCACTTTGCTATAACATGGGCCATGCATGTTTTATCTCCTTTCATCTTTACAACAACCTTAAAAGTAAGTATTACCAAACTTATTTTTTAAAATATTTTTATTGATTTCAGAGAGGAAGGGAGAGGGAGAGAGAGATAGAAACATCAATGACGAGAGAGAGCATTATCGACTGCCTCCTGCACGCCCCCCCACTGGAGATCGAGCCCACAACCCAGGCATGTGCCCTTAATCAAATTCGAACCCGGGACCCTTCAGTCCACAGGCCAATGCTCTATCCACTGACCCAAACCAGCTAGGAAACCAAACCCATTTTATAGGCAGGGACATCAACTTTAGGATTACGAGACTTACCTAAGAGCCTCAGAATATGGCAGAGCTGGCTCCTGCCTTCCTCAGGCTCTCCCCTGCTGCCCTCACACCAGCTTCATTAACTTTGTGGGCTGGCTTCATTTTAGACGTGTCCTTGACTCTGCCCTTGTCCTCTCCCTCCTTTCTTTCAGGGAACATCATTAAGAATGAAGCCTTGTACAGAGCTGGGATCCATCCCCTTTCTCTCGGTTCACTCCTCAGTCCTCGGCAACTTGAGATCCTCGTGGATCACGTGGTGGAGTTCAGTACAGACTGGCTTCAGGACAAGTTCCAGGGCAGACAGAATCACACACAGATCTACCAGAAAGAGCAGTGCCCTGCTGGGCACCAGGTCAGGAAGGAGGCCTTTGGGCCTCCAGGTGGCTTCCAGAGGCTCACCTGGTGGTGCCCCCAGTGCCAGCCCAGGCTGCCACCTGACGAGCCAGAACAAGTCCAGCTTCCCTAGGGCCCTTGGGCCCCTTCACAGAACCTTGCCCAAGGAGCTTGATGCTTGAGTGTAGAGAAAGGAGGTGTGGGCAGGGATTGGGACTAGGAGCAGGAGTTAGAAGTGAGGGTGGTCAGGAGGGTATCAGTCCTGTTGATATTCATCTCACTGAAGTTGAGTTTTCACAGGGTTAGATTATTTTTTAAGTGTTTAATTCTTCCTAATTCTGCCATTGTGAACGATGAGAAAAGTTATGTTGACAGTATGGGAAAAGCCTCCCAGAACAAGTGGGTTAATGAAAATATAAGTCTGTGGAAAAGAGCTGTGCCCCACCATTGTTCTGTTTGGTTTGGTTTTGGTTTTGAAACTTTGGTTGTTTTAAGGCCCTCCATTTGAGAGTCAGGAATATGGAATTACCTTTCTTCATCCCTCTGGAGAGATCCAGGGATGAGGATGGAGTAGCATGAGGGTCATGCTGGGATTCAGCCTCCTGCTTGGGTCCTTTTCCATAGGATGGAGACACCAGGAGAAAGGGTGGGGGCCGGGGGAGCTGGCCACCTTTCTGATGTGCCCAGTGGGCTTTAGAGCAAAGCTACTTGTTTCCTCCTCAGGTGATATATTTGTGACCATTGCTGTGTGGAACCAGCAGGAA